TGTGATCCCCCTTTTTCTAGTAAGAAAACTGAGACGATGAGCGGCCAAGTACCATCCCCAGCATCTCACACACACCGAGTAAGCAACAGCATCAGGATTCGAACTCAGGCCTGTCTGCATCCAAATCTCACCTCTATTCCTACATCACATGAATCTGGGGAGAGCCCCCTGCCACTCATGGTGCCTGTGAGCTGGTATTAGTGTGAGAGGAGATGGGGGCTACTTCTCTCTCCTTGAGAAGGGCATGCCTGCAGCCTGCACCCCACTGGTGTGCTCTCCTTTTTGCAGATTCAGGGGATGGAGCAACACTTGTCTTCGGAGTTGTGGGCATGGCCAGGACTCTGCTTCCCCAGGAAGAATGACATGCTCCGAGGATGTGGGACAAACTCGCATGGCTGCGCCTGTACCTGCTGCCTGGAAACAGACATCTTGGGCGGATAATTGGCTAGTCCAATTTCCAGCGGGCTTTGCAGCATGTTTGGAAGAAATGGAAGGAAGTTAGCCACCAGCATTTCCCACCAGGCCTCCAGCTTCTCCAGGAGCTCACATTTCTGAGCGAGCAAAAGACAGAGAGAACTGACCCTCCCATTTCTCCTTCTACCTTCATCTCTAGCCGACCAGCATTGGTGTGGACTCATCCATGACATCCTATGAGCAGTTTAGCTCCAGCACCCCTGACAACACCCCGCCACCCCCATTTCCTTGCCCCCTGGCACCTAGGCACCTGCCCCACTCCCACCACTTCCCCATATTTACATCTAGTCCGCAGCACAGTAGAGGTTCAGAGCACCAGCTCTGGACTTCTATATCGAGGGTTTTAAATCCCAGTTCTGCCACGTACACACTGTACAGACTTGGGTAGATCACTGAAGTACTTCTCTGTGCTTCGGTTTCCTCACCTGTATGTGGGGATTAATAATAGTGTCTATCTGTGATGGGCTTAACTGAGTCCCCCAAATTCCTATGATGAAGCCTAACCCTAGCACCTCAAAATATGACTATATTTGGGGAGAGGGCTTGTACAAGGTGATTAAGTTAAATGAGGCCATTAGGATGGGACTTTAATATGACTGGTGTTCTTACAAGAAGCGGAAGGGACACCAAGGGTTAGGGTACAGAGGAAAGATTGGGAGGACACAGCAAGAAGGCAGCCATCTACAAGCCAAAAGGAGAGACCTCGGAAGAAACCAACCCTGTCAGCACCTTAATCTTGCACTTCTAGCTTCCAGAACTATCAGACAATAAAACTCTTGTTTAAGCCACTCTGTGTGTTACATTTTGTTTTGGTAGCCCGAGCAAACCCTTACATTGCCTCATATAATTGTTGCAGGAGCTGGGGTTGGTGGCTCATCCCTGTAATTCCAGCTACTCAGGTGGCTGAGGTGGAAGGAGTGCTTGAGCCCAGTTCAAGACCAGCCTGGGCAACATAGGGAGAAACTGTCTCTACAAAACAATTTTTTAAATTAGCTGGGTGTAGTGATGCACACCTGCAATCCCAGCTACTTAGGAGGCAGAGGTGGAAGGATTGTTGAGCTCAGGGGTTTGAGGCTGCAGTGAGCTCTGATAGCACCACTGTACTCCAGCCTAGGTGATAGATGAGACCCGTCTCTGAAATAATAATAATAGTAATAATAAACCGTTGCAGGGATCCAACTAGATGAACCATCTAAATTGCTGGTAAAGTACCTGGCCCCTAAGTGTTTCCTATTAGTATAGCAGCTTCTCATTACACAGCCATTTACTTTCTATACCACTCATTTGGTAAGTGCCAAAGCTTATAAAGCATTAAGTCTTTCTAAGAATCAAGTAACTTCTACGAGGGTCCAGGTTTTAGATTTCTTGCCTCCACCCCCAGTCTACCCAAGTGACTATAAGAGGTGGGGCTGGGCACGGTGGTTCACGACTGCAATCTCAGCTCTTTGGGAGGCCGAGGTGGGCGGATCACAAGGTCAGGAGATTGAGACTATTCTGGCTAACACGGTGAAACCCCATCTCTACTAAAAATACAAAAAACTAGCCAGGCGTGGTGGTGGGCACCTGTAGTCCCAGCCACTCGGGAGGCTGAGGCAGGAGAATGGCGTGAACCTGGAAGGCAGAGCTTGCAGTGAGCTGAGATGGTGCCACTGCACTCCAGTCTGGGGGACAGAGCGAGACTCCATCTCAAAAAAAAAAAAAAGGTGCTCAAAAAATATTTGTAGATGTAATGTTCTTCCAATAAATATTTAGGAACTAGGGCAGTAAACAAAAGAGACCCAGGGAGTCTGGGTCTGGAATTACAGTCTCTCTACCTTCAGGGATTTTAGAATTTAGTAGGGAAGGGATGTGATGTTGATTCTGTAATATCATTTGCTTTGAGTGTTTTTCTTTTGCGTTTATCTGAGAAGCAAATGAGCTATGAATGAGGTGCTGGCTTGACTCCCTAGTGATTCCAGTATGAGAGAACGATGCCACTTAGCACACACTGTGTGCCTACTAGGTGCCTCGTTCTTCCTTGCTTAATGTTCATAATGACCCCAACCAGTTGACTCTGTTATTATTTTAGTTTTACAGATGGGAAAACTGAGGCACAGGGAAGTAAATTCCCTAGGATCACACAACATGTAAGAGTTAAAGCTGAGATTCAACCCAATTTGGCATCACAGCCCAAATTATCAGGAACAGTGTGCTCACATAACCCTAGTCAAAGGCTCTCAGGCTTATGGCTTTTCTGTTTCCATGGCTGGGCATCCAGCCAGTGACCTGGGGTGTGGACTGGGATGTCCCTCTGTTCTGTGGAATGAGGCAAGAACAGGGGAGGCATGTCCCCACCCTTTCCCTCCAGCTTTATTCTCCTTTCTGGATAGGGGACCAGGATAGACTCTAAAATGGACTGAATATTTGTGCCCAGACCCCAAAACTTATATACTGAAACCATGAACCCGATGGGATGGTATTTAAAAGTAGAGCCTCTGGGAGGTGATTAGGCCATGAGGGTGGAACCCTTGTGAATGGGATTAGTGACTTTTATAAGAAACCAGAGAGCTAGGTAGCATTCTTTCCACCATGTGGGGATACAACAAGAAATCGACAGTCCACAACCCGGAAGAGAGCCCTCCCCAGAGCACAACCGTGCTGGCACTCTGATCTCAGACTTCCGGGCTCCAGAACTGTGAGGAACAATGTCTGCTGTTTATAAACCACCAGTCTATGGCACTTTGTTACAGCAGTCCAAACAGACTAAGACAGGCCCAGACTAAGAAGCACATCCTCCAGAGGGAGTTATCTCAGTGACCTGTTCTGTCTCTCTCTCTCCATGGCTTTGTTTGTAGATCCTAGGATCAGAAGGGACTTGGCTTGTATTTCTCCACATGTGCTGCATGTTAGCGAGATGCCAGGCATAGTGCTAAGTGTTTTACATGTGTAAGAGCCTCTGTCAAGGTCTAGGAGAGTGATCTCAGATACCAAAGTAGGTTCCAGACCAAGCCTACACTGCAGGGAGGGAGTGGAGAGCCAGTGAGTGGCACTGAGAACCTGTCCCTCAGCAAAAGATCAGGGGCTGGAGAGAACTTGTGAAGATTTTCGGAGAAAGCTGTTTGTGTGCTGTGAGTCCCAGCCCCCTGGAAGGACGGGCAGGGTGCCTACCTCTCACATCATTCCAAGGGAGTATGGGTTCTGTGGGTCCTTGGAGCCTGACATGTGCCCCCCTGATGCTTGAGGACCCAGGAGACTGGTGTCTATTCCAGCCTGGAAAATAAAAAATGTGAGCAGTGGGCTGGCTGGTGGCTCAGGCTGCAGAGCAAGAAGAGCAGCTGCTTTCTTCTAATTCTAGGGAAAAATAAGATCCAAGTGGTGCCAATGGGCCCGCTATGGGCCTCTGGAGAGGAGACTACCATGAGTTCAACCTAGGACCTGTCCAAGTGGGCAAGTGGACAGCAGCAGAGAGAAGCTGGGGCACTGTCAGGAAGGACCAGTCCACCCGCCAGAGGGAATCATTCACCCTCACCAGGAGACTTGCAGGGAGCAGATTCCCAAGACACAGGGTCTCCAATGAACCAGAAAGGACTCCCCTTTCCCCTCCATAGAGTCCTCCAAGGCTGGAGAGCCCACAGCCTATCTCAGATGTCATCTACATCAGGCCTGACCCCCCGCCCACACCCCTCATCCCTGGCCTCTTATCTTTCCCCTTCCACTCTCTCCTGCAGGGGTCAGGAGCCCCAGGTGGGAAGAGGGGTAGAAGGAGTAGAAGAGCAAAGCCAGAAAGACAGAAACCAGCCACACCCCGTCCCCAGTGGTGGACTCCTGTCTGCAGCAGCCCTACCTGCCACTACTCCTTGCCCAACTGGAATTGAGGGTGATCATTTGCTTTACAAAAGGACTTTTCCTTTAACCCAAAGGATTCACCTTTGAAGAAGCATCAGCTTTCCTTTAAAGACAGACCTTTTCCAGAACATTTTCAATTATTTGGATGGTTAAGGTTTTGCATATCTCTGTCTTATCACCCCACTTGAAGAATGAGCTTTTGTGAGCAGATACAGTGCCTTATTTTCCTTCCTCCCCTCCACAGGACCTGATCACCAGAGGCACTTAAAGATCTGATGACTAATACACACTTTTCGGGGACACGTTGATTGTATAAAGTGAGGTACAGCCCTAAGCAAGATCAACCCACTGCATTTCCAGATTGCTCCAGCTGAACAAATACACAAACCATCCTCACCCTTTTTTTGCTCTCTGCATTTTCAAGCAGTAGGTGGTAGTAATAAAAACACCACCTCGAATTGGGACAGCACTTTACAGTTTCAAAGCAACTTTCATAACCCAAAGTCACTCTCCACCCCACGCTCATCCCCAAGCCAGGCCCATCCATTTCCACCCACACCCCTGCTTCTCCTGATGGCCAGCCCCGTGCCAGCTGCTGCCAGATGGGGCCACGTGCCCTCCCTCCAGCAAGTCCATGTGTGATGTGGAGAGTTTCCTCATAAAGAGTCAGCTGGGCAGAAATGTGGGCAGAGACCAGAGGGCAGCTTGTTCAGGTTCTGTTTATTATGTTCTCACAGCCTTGTTTATAGTAAAGGTGAAAGACATGATTCCACTTTACATGGTAATGAAACAACTCAATGAGGACACCATCAGCCAAGCGGTTTATATGGCAGATGAGCTGCTACAAATCTGTTGTGTGCTCGCCGCGTGACTCAGCTAATGCTACCGGGGTTGGAGCGCACACCCAGCCCAGCCACCTTTTCCATACCTGGCAGAGGGAAGGGAGCGGAAGGACCAAAAGGGAGTAAGAACCAGGAAAGGAACAGTTTATTAAAAGGACCCAGAGCCCAACCTAGGAAGGCCAGTGGCCCCATCCTGAGATCTCCCGTCTTGGTCCACAGCATCTTGTGGAGTCCTGAGAGGCCACGGGAACAGGAAGGCATCTCTGCTCTTGGCTTCTTCCTCCACCATCTCATGCCGAGTGGCACGTTGGAACAGGCTCTCAGTGCCAGGGAGGCTTTGCCACCTCTCTTGCTTCTAACCCAGAGGGATGCAGATTTAAAGAGGCCTGACACTTGGCAGGGTGGCCTGGGATGGAAAACCGTGATGCCTCTGCCTTCCGTGGAACTGGGCACAGACAGGGTCAGTCAGGAGAACTCTGGACACTCTTGTTGCTGGGAGACCATCCTGCCTCTGCATTTTCTACTCATCCCTTCTCCTCTGGTCCATGGAGAAGCAGACACCATGTTAGCGGCTGGTCTCTCCCACCCGCTCCTTCCTCTTCAGTCTTCCCCATTCTACCCTCCCCAGCTTTCAGTACAGTTAAGTTCACAGCTTGCCCTCACAGCAGAGCCAGCTGAGCTGCCCAGCTCAAGCGCCCAGGGCCTGCACCCAGAGGCTGGGCCCACAGCCTGCGCAGAACGCTCTTTCACAGCTTTGGTTTACTCAGAGCAGCAGTTCTGGGGAGAGCACCGGAGATTAAAATCAACTAGGACCTTCCCAGCTGCCCACCCAACCTGGGACCAAAGAGGGAATGGTGAGGGCTTGGAAAGGCCTCACAGATCTTGATATCCCCAGGATGTGACACTCTCCATTGATAAATTTGGAAGTTGTGTTACTACTATTATTATTACCACGACGCTCTTCACTCACTACATGAGTGGGGGTTCCAACTACCTTGTCGTGTGGCCTTGGGTACAGAGACACACCCTAATGCAAAAATGGCCAAACACAAGGGCGCAGGAAAACAGACAGGGGAAACAGCCTAGGAGACAAGCTTGGAGGAGACAGGACTCGGAAAGCACGGCAGAGCATCTTTCGATCAAGGATCCCTTCAGCTACCACCTTCGGCATGGCCGCTGCCCAGCAATGCACGCAGCTTGGGCCAAATCACCTTTATCTCAAAAGAGCAAGTCAGACCCTGAGGGCATCGAGGCAGCATCCCGAGTCAGGTTTCAGGACCAGCCAGGTTCCTCAGTATCTACGTGCTTGCATCTGGAAATGCGCCAGCCCCCTGGTCCACACAGCTGTGTTCCCCCCTTTCCCCTCCCCTACACTGCGTTCCTCCTCACTCCTTAGACCAATGCTTTCTAAGTTCAGCTGCACATTGGAGTCACCTGTGGAGCTTTAAAGTGACTGATGCCTGGGTCTCTACCAAAAGCTTCTGATTTGGCTGTTCTGGGGTGGGACCTGGACATCTGGGTTTTAAAAACTCCCTAGGTGATTCTAAGGAGCAGCCAAGGTCATGAGCCACTGTCTAAGACCATCCTTTTTCCAAGTCCACAGGCCACTAGCCACCTAGGAACTTATTAAATATATTGATTTCTGGGCCCCATCTCAGGTCTATCAGATCAGCATCTCTGGGTGTGCACCTGGGAATTAGCACTTGTCACAGGCTTTCCAGGTGATTCCTGTGCGTGCTCAAGTTTAATGAGAAGGACAGCCTCAGAGGATTCTTCCTCACCCCAGAGGTGCCCAAGGCCATGAATGGTTGATTCTGACAGTATTCTATTTAGTTTGCCAAGGGCAATGATGAATCTCACACCAGCCCCCAAACAAGTTAGCCCTCCAGTGGGGCAAGGTCACTCAGGGATGGAGAGCAATTCTGGAAGTCACAGCTCTGCCTGGACTCCTGCCCTGGCTTGCCTGGAGCCTGCACAGGCCCAGGACCCAGCAAGCCTTGAGTCCAGAGAGCAAGTCCACAGCACAGGCCCGGCTTGAGGAGCAAAGGAAGACAGGAAATAAATGGAAGTGATACCCAAGGACATGAGCTTGTGGAAGAGGCAATGGGAGAGAGGGCAGGACTGGGAAACATGGAAGCTCAGGGATGAGGTATGCTTGGATATTGCTCTAGATGTTGTAAACATTTCTCTTTGTTTTATCACAGACCAAAATCTGGGTTGGCACAACCAGAGTGCCTAAAACTAGGCATCAGAGTCGAGAGCTCTGCGCCTCTTGTGGGAAGCAGGGCATACAGGGTATGAGGAAAGCTCCACCCCATGGGAAGATCATGTCTGCCATGTACTAGTCTAATGCTCACAATTGTCACACACACACACACAAACACACAGAGACGCTCCACAGGAGTACCATAAATTTAGCTATCACGTTCCTCTACACACGGACACACGCCCACATACCCTTGCTTAGCTGCAAAATTCAGGATCCCCAAGCTGGGTCTTTCACACCTCCCCATTGTGGGAGGAAGTCACCAGGGCGCCATGATACCATCACCTGCAGCCTTCGTTTCCTCAATAGTTGGCAAGAACTCTAGGTCCCTCTATGAGGCCATAGCACGACACTCTCGTTCAGGCTTTTCTCCTTGGGATAGTGGAAGTAGTGAAAAAGGCCCCTTTTAGAATGTTTCACATTTCTATAACTCTGTGCAATTCCAATTTATATGCACCTCATATTCGACAGTAGAGTTGGCAGCAGATGCACATTTCATATGTAAACAATGTTTAAAATACCCTGTTAGAGAATTTAATCATTAAATTAATTCTGGCAGCTTTATCTAAAAAAGAATGATTTGTTTTTTTAACCACGGTTGGGAGGATACTACCTGATCTAACTAGGATCACCCATTTGAGGCTTTGGAGTTCTCGAACACGAAATTCCACAGGTCTCTTCGGTGTGAGGGGTAGGAGACGTGTGTTCTTCTCTCCCCTTGAGGTTCACACAGTCACACCCACCCTCACTCACAGATAACAATGTGCCGTGGCAGTGCAGTGGGCCCTAGCAGTAGTGGGACTCAAGGGCCTTCTTGGCTTGGTCTAGCTATAGCTAAAAAAGGAAGAGATTCTCAAAGTTAACGGAGAGGAACACAAGCACTGGAACACCACCAGCATAACCTTAAAAGGCCCCTCACCCCTTAAAACGAGAATGGTTCAGCTCAGTTTGCAATCGCCTGCACAGAGCTTATGCTTAATCATGTGCTGTTCCACTTAGTCAAGCTGAAAGTTTTGTAGATCTGCAGTGAATCCAAATCCATTGGTCGTGAATTATTCCAACAGTAACTCCACTCTGTTAGCCTCTCCACCTGGAAACCAGCCTCTTGCATGCCCCACTTTCACTTTCTGGTCTCTCTGCTAAAGGTTCATCTCCTTGGCACTACTCTTGTGCCAAAGTCAGCTTTTTCCTGGGTAGCTAGAGTAGGTTCCAGGCTGTTCACTCATCCTCCAAGGAAGAGTTGCCTGACACACTTCCAAGAGCAGCTGTAGGATACCATGAAAGCATTTTAGGAAGGTTCTCCACATCCAGATGCTCACAGTGATCTTCTTAGCCACACCTCCTATTTCATGCTCAATTCCAAAAGGTCAAAGATCAAGAAAGAAGCTGCTTCATGGTATCCAAGAAAGAGATCTTTCTAAGTAAGCATGTTCCCAGGAAGTATGCTGGAAAGAGTTTCAGCCTAAATTCCCGTTCTCCCCCATCATAATTACATGACCGGCATGGAAGGGGGGAGGTGGAGATACAGGGAAAGTACTAGGCACCGTGGGAGCACTCCATGCTACAGGAATTCACCTCCCTTTGCCAAGTTGTCATCCTAAGAGATCAGTGATGTATGATGCTGCAGAGAGGTGAGGGCAGAGAAGACAAAGAGCAACAGACAGGTTATATGGTACCCCTTTGAATAGAAGTCTACTGGTGCTACATTCCCTCGTCTCCTGACTTCTGGAAAAGTTCTTCGTAGAATTGAGGAAGATTTGTAAGCTGTATCTTTCTTCATGGCAATTCCACTTCAGAAGTCATGAAGGACATGTCCCAAGACTCTTTCTGGAAATGTAAGGGTAGGGTAGTCTTGTGAATTTCCTAGGCCAAGATGGAAAGTAATCACAGTTTTTCACACTGGTCCAATGGAAATGGAAGAAACAAACAACTCCATGGATTTCACTCCTTCTCCGAGAGGTCACCTGTCAATGACAGCACTAGAAACTTGGAATTCCACAGAAACCTCTCTCCTAAGCTGTGAGGTCCCAGTGAGCAGAGCTGGCCACTACAAATCACAGAGTGGAGCCCAAGTCTTTCAGCTACTCCTCCCAGGGATTTACAACAAGTGGAGTCAGGAATCCTAACTGAGGAGAGTGTGGAGGTGGTGGGAATTGCATTTGCATTATTTACAGATTAGCCTAGCACAGCAAATCTGCCCTCTCAGCAGAGGTGACTCAAGGCATTATGAAGGGCGAGTTGCTGACCCAGAAAAGGGTGACAGCGGCAAGGCGCTACCACTAACCAAAACACAAACATGGGTAAATGGAATAGAGTCCAAGCTCCAGCAGCTGGGTCATACTTTGGAATGGCCCTTCATTCCCTCCTCACCCCCAGCCTCTCACCCCCAATGCCACCACTTTTGAACACCTATGACATTTCACATTAGAATATGATCTTGGCAGCAAGAGGAGGGGAAAGCCGGTGATTTCCAGGAGTCCACTTCTGAGGTCTAACTGAGCCTCCTCTGGCTTTGGGACAGCAGATCTAAGTACATTTTGGACCTCAGGAACCTGGGGTAAGAGTCTTTCTCCATGAGGCTGTGTACTTTTCCTTGGGCTTGGTCAAAGCAAGTCAGGGACGGCTCCTGCATGTTCTTCCTCGTGGCTTCTCGGGTCTGGAAGTCAATGTTTACCTAGAGATACAAACAGAGAGCAAGGTCACAGGCCCTCAACGGCCAAGGTTTCTGGCAGCTGGCCCTAACTATGCAATAATTATTAATGACAGCATCTACATGTTTAAGGCGATTTTGGCTTTTCAAATTGCTTCCATGGAGGTCATCCCTTTTGATCACAGCAAGAATCCTGCGGGGTCTGCAAACCAGATATTCTCAGTCCCAATTTATAGACAACAGTACTGAAAAGAAGAGACTACAAAGCTTGTTTAAAGTAGTATGGAAAGTTAGCAACAGAACCAAGGCAAAATCCCAAATTACTTGAATCCCTAATCCAGGGACCTTCACCCTGGCAGGCAAAGAGATAGATCCAAGCCAGTTGTTAATGCAAGTCCCCTGAAGTAAGCTTTTTCTCCTGTCTTTTCTTGTCTACTAAGGAAACAAATGTCTTGTGGAGGGAGGCCCTGGTTAGAATGTACATCTCTGTTCCAACCAGCATTATAAAGGGTCTGTAGCATCCTAGACAACTGGTAAAGACTTCTTGCATCCCAAGTCAAAGCATAATTGAAGGAATCTAAAAATACAATGCACCTAAACTGGTAGCAAACATTTTTCTTCATGTAAACCCTCCCCTCCCAAGTAAAATTCTGTATTATAACTCAGAACAGCAATATAATAGAAATTCATCCTATTACTATAAATCATTATAATTAAATAATATAAATAATTATAATTACTCATTAATGAGCAGTGGCAAATACTGAACAGGTGCTTCATCTCTCATCCTCTGAAAGGTAGGTACCCTTTTACATTGGGGAAATTGAGACCCAGAGAGGTTTAGTAACTTGACCAAGATCTCCTAGCTAGTAAGTGGTGGAGCTAAAATTGAAACAAGATTTCAAAGCAGATCCACATTTCATTAAGCTATGCTGCCTTCCACCAGGAAAACGAACATAGACTCGGTAGCATTTATTCTTGCAGAATCTCTGTAGCAGCACAGTTCCTGCTAGCGCATGCTTAACTGACAGACAACTAAAACACTCCTAATGGAGCTCCTCTGATGGAAGTCCTGGGTTTCTGTTTCTTAAAAATGATCCTTTTTTTTTTTTTTCATCAAGGGCCACCAGAGCGATGAGGTTCAGTTTTGTATAAGAAAGTCCTCATCAAGCCTGGCTCAGATCCTCTCTGAGAGAGAAATACAGGCCAGAAGCCATGGACAGACAGGATGGTCGCCGCTGCCAACACACCTCCCGTGGAGCCTGCACATCCACAAACTCCTCAAAGATCCTATGGGCCTTAGAGACCAGTTTTGCTGTTGACCTGGTCTTCTTGAACTCCTCACAGGCCAACCAGAACTCCAGGTTCTCCTCACTGAACTCCGTCTTCAAGAAGGCACGGAATGCAGCCACCCCATCTGTGGATGTGGGAGGAAGAAAAGAAGAGAGATAGGAAGCAGCTTAAGTTTAAGAACTGTAGAAGAAAGAAAGGAAGTAATAGTGTGAGGGTGCCCCTAATTGTCCAAGCTCACTGCTCCTCCACACCCTCTTGAAGACCCCATTCTCATCTGGGTGCAGTGGTTCACGTCTGTAATCCCAGCGCTTTGGGAGGCTGAGGCAGGTGGATCACCTGAGGTCAGGAGTTGGAGACCAGCCTGGCCAACATGGCGAAACCCCATCTCTACTAAAAATACAAAAAAAATTAGCTGGGCGTGGTGGCACATTTCTGTAATTCCAGCTACTTGGCAGAGAGGCAGGAGAATCACTTAAACTTGGGAGGCAGAGGTTGCAGTGAGCTGAGATCATGCCACTGCACTCCAGCCTGGGCGACAGAGTGAGACTCCATCTCAAAAAAAAAAAAAAAAAGACTTCATTATCCTAGACACACAAGTGTCCTCAGAGGCAAGTCATGCTTCTTATGCAAGTCATGGGGCCAGGCACGGTGTCTCACACCTGTAATCCCAGCACCTGGGAAGGCAAAAGCAGGTGGACCACCTGAGGTCAGGAGTTCGAGACCAGCCTGGCCAACATGATACAACCTCATCTCTACTAAATACAAAATATTAGTTGGGTGTGGTGGTGCATGCTTGTAATTCCAGCTACTTGGGAGGCTGAGGTGGGAGAATCGCTTGAACCCAGGAGTCAGAGGTTGCAGTGAGCCGAGATCACACTACTACACTCCAGCCTGGGGAACAAGAGCAAAAATATGTCTCATTAAAAATAATAATAATAATAAAATAAAATAAAATAAAGAGTCATAATGATATTACAAAGCCACATTTAGGAAAGTGTAGTAATATGTTTGGGGCACAGGTGTCTGTTCCCTAGGTCTATTGGTGAGCTATGTTGCTATTTAATAATTAGGTCAAATTATTTGTTCTCTAACCTAATCCAAGTCAACCATCCTGAGGAAACACAAAACTTGTTACAAGATGAGCTAGAGGGAATGTGAATGTCTCATTCTTTGCTACTACCAAAAAAATCTGAAAGTAAACTACCTACTGAAATGTAGTCAGCAGTGTCATTCTGTTACCTGGATGGGGTTGCAAGCCTCTTTTTAAAAAAACATTTGAGGTGCTGTATTTTGACGTTTTTCTTCCATATATACTTTATTTTAAAAGACATTGCCTATCAAATTATGTTTTAGTTAAGATTGATCATAATTTTTCTGCCAAGTGATTTAACAAATTAATATGCCTTTTCATTTTTGTTAATCAATATCATACATATTGTCAAGCAGTGCTTCCAACCAACACAAGATGAGCAGGGTTACCATGTCGAGTTAGAAAGGGAAATCACATTTATTGATAGCTTATGCATCCAGTTAATGTTTTTATTTAAAAATATTTTTTATAAGTTATTTCAACCTCAACACACTCCCCTCTAATCAAATAACAGCTATAGCTTTCTATAAACTGTCCTCAGGCGAAGGGCACATACAACCTAGAATAAAGAAGTGTTCTGCTGGTTATAAAAGATGCTGGCAATAATCTTTTATTTCTTTTCTAAAATTTCCTAGAAGAACAAAATGTTAACAACTCTTAATCCTAGATGACAGGATGACCTGGGCATCTGACGTCCACCACTATCCACCAGGACTGTGCACTGGCCAGGGTCATTCGATGGATTGCTGGTGCCAGGCTGTTGATACATTCAAATGCTTACTTTTACTTTCTTGAAATGTTTTCATTTCTCTGAATAAAAAAGTCATTGTATATCTTTGTCTTTCAAAATAGATATTTTAATGTCTATACTAGAACAGTATCATAAAAGCCAAGACCTTTACTTGCAAGAGCCAGGAACTTAAGAGAAAGGTTTTTGGGTGGCTCCCAACACTGAGCTTTAAGTCACAAGGAGATTTAAGTTTGGAAGCCTGAGCTTAAACTCATTTTGAAAAGTAGGAATGGTCGGGCACAGTTGCTCACACCTGTAGTCTCAACATTTGGGAGGCTGAGGTGAACAGCCTGCTTGAGCCCAGGAGTTTGAGACCAGCCTGGGCAACATGGCAAAACCCTATCTCTCCAAAAATACAAAAATTAGCCAGGTGTGGTGGCGTGTGCCCAGCTATTCGGGAAGTTGAGGTGGGAGGATCACCTGAACCCCAGAGGTTGAGATTTCAGCGAGCTGTGATCACACCACTGCACTCCAGCCCAGGTGACAGAGTGATACCCTATCTTTAAAAAAAGAAAAAGAAAAGAAAGATGACCATGTAATTTACTATCCAAACCAGGTCATTTTGAGAGTGAAGCCTACATTACTGTTAATTACATGCAGACAATAGTTATAAACCATGAACACCACAGGCAAAACCCGAACACATGATCACCTTAACTCTAAACCATAAAGTATAGAGAAAGTAGAATATAATGTAAAGTTACTTCCTGTCAGGCAGGTGGAAAATAAAATTGTTCCGTACTGAAAGAGAAGAGGAGAGTAACGTAGTTTAGACTCATATGAGAGGTCTGCTCAGGGCACCTCCTGCTCCCATTACTACACTGGATTCAAAACTCTGGAAGAAGGGATTAGAAACCTGAGATAAACTGAAAATCAAAATGAAACAATGACACAGCAATGTTTAGGCAGAGATGGACTGAGAATCATTCATTCAATTCAGCAATGTCTTTTAAAGCAGCTACTAATGTAACAAAGCACAGATGCTTCTCAACTTATGATGGGGGTATGTCCTGAAAAATCCATCACAGATTGAAAATACCAAGAGTCAAAAATGTACTTAATAAACCTAACCTACTGAACATCACAGCTCAGCTGAGCCTAACCTAAATGTGCTCAGAACACTTTTGATACAGTATTTAGTAAATTACATGAGCTATTCAGCACTATATTATAAAACAGACATTGTGTTAGATTATTTGGCCCAGCATTGCAAGAGAGTATCACATCACATATTGCTAGCCTGGGAAAAGATCCAAATGCAAAATTTGAAGTATGGTTTCCACTGAATATGTATCACTTTCACACCATCATAAAGCTGAAAAATCGTAAGTCGAACCATAGTAAGTCGGGGACCATTGGTACTGTAAGAGAACAAAATCTTAAAATCCTTGCCCATGAAATCTCTCAAGGAAACTCTCTTTGTCACCCCTCCCTCACTCTGTCCCCTCCATGGAGAAGATCCAGAAGTCTCCACAGGCTCTAGAGGGAACTTGGATTAGAGAACCAGCCTCCCTGCCAGGAGATCCCCACTGCTTGCAGGAGGGGCCCCTGAGGCAGAGGCTATTGGCAGAGGTCGAAGGGAAAAATAGCTGGAGCTGTAGAAGCCTCAGTGCTCTTGGAGGAGGTTTTCTCCTTGCAGAAGACCCAGTGCCCTTGAGAACTCAGTGAAGGGCTGGTTTAGCAAGGGGGGACTCTGAGCAGTGACCAGTCCACGATTTCACTATCAATGGACACAGTGAGGACCCGAGGGACCGTAGGCCAGAGGTTCCCTCTCCGCCTCCATCTTAACACACTTTCCACTGTATTCAGTGAATGAGGAGGGGAATGAGGGGGCCCTAAAAGACTGTGTGTTTATCTGAAAGAGTAACTGGAAAGTGACTTGGAAAAGCAACTCAGAAGAGCCTGTGGTTGGTTTTAAACCAGAAGAGACTACATTCTTCGAATGGGAGAGTTTAAGGTTGTTTGTGTCAGATTTTAATTTCTAACCGAACAGAAACAGGTGCTTATGAGCAAGGTGAATGTAGTTATAGACAAGGAAAGAATATTACTTTTCTGCCTTCTTTCATGGTACTGGTAAAGATAGCCTTGCTAAGGAAACTGTCTGGCCCTGTGCTAGATGAGGTACAGGCATCGCCTCCTTAAATCCAGGTTTCAACTCTGTTGGGTCTTTATGTGGACGAGTAGAGATAACTTCTGCAAAGTGCTCTCAGGAGGCTTGCTTTACATCTCATCTTACAGATGAGGAAACCGATGCTAAGAAAAGGGACTTGCCCGGTTTTAACAGGTAACAATATGTAGCATTGAAAACGTCATATAAGGTACACTCACTTTCAATCCAACATAGCAATAATGAATGAATCTTCATTCATTCATTCACTTGTTATGTGACTCAGGCTATGCTATGCGCTAAAAGCAGATATAATCGTGGCTTCACAGAATTTGCCATCAAGGGCAAGCTTGAGCCAAGAAAACATAATTATGATGATTATGCTGTAGTGTGATAAGTTACATGATAGAGAAAGCAGAGGGGTCATGAAGGACCCAGAAGGGGTGCCTTTGCCAGCCCTGAGGAGCGAAGGGAAGACCTGTGGGAGGAAGAGGCTTCTAAGCTGACATGGGAAGTAGAGGAGAGGGAAGCTAAGCAAGGGAAGGAAGGAGAGGAAGGAGAAGAGAATTTCAGCGAGAGGGAACCACAGGAATGAAGGCCTAGAATTAAGAAAGTTTACTTGGGTAACTGGAAGTAGTTCACTAAGACTAGCATTTAGTAATAATACAGCTGAAAATGACTAGGCCTGCTTATAGGATAGCATACACCAAGAGGCCTGTGAAAGAGCCAGAGAGACAGAAGAATTTTGCAGGACTACAAAAGGCCAGGAAGAGAACATTTCAAGAAGGAAGTGGTCACTGTGTCTAGTGCTGCCCAGAGGTCAAGCTAGATACAGTCTGAGAAACAGTCACTAGATTCAGCAAGCGTTGGCAGGAAGAGTTTTCATGGTGTAATGGGGCACTAGCTGTCCCATGGTATGTATGGTGGTGAATGAGACTGAAGGAAGTGGAAACAGTCATTCAGATGACGCTTGCAACAAATTTCGTAGATAAAAAAGTAGAGAAATAAGACAGCATAGCTGGAAGGAAACATGAGGTCAGGAAAGAGATTTTTTTTTTTTTTTTAAGATAGACTTGGGTAGGGCCGGGCGCAGTGGCTCACACCTGTAATCCCAGCACTTTGGGAGGCTGAGGAGAG